ACATAACATTATAAGAAGTGTTACAGCCTGGAAATAACGTTATAAGAAGTGTTAAAGCCTTGACATTATGTTATAAGAAGTGTTAAAGCCTGGACATAACGTTATAAGAAGTGTTACAGCAGGACATCACGTTATAAGGAGTGTTACAGCAGGACATCACATTATAAGAAGTGTTACAGCAGGACATCACGTTATAAGGAGTGTTACAGCAGGACATCACATTATAAGAAGTGTTACAGCAGGACATCACGTTATAAGGAGTGTTACAGCCTGGACATCACGTTATAAGAAGTGTTACAGCCTGGACATTACGTTATAAAAAGTGTTACAGCCAGGACATAACGTTATAAGAAGTGTTAAAGCCTGGATATTACGTGATAAGGAGTGTAACAGCCTGGACATAACGTTATAAGAAGTGTTACAGCAGGACATCACATTATAAGAAGTGTTACAGTCTGGACATCACATTATAAGAAGTGTTACAGCCTGGACATTATGTTATAAGAAGTGTTACAGCCTGGACATCACGTTATAAGAACTGTTACAGCCTGGACATCACGTTATAAGAACTGTTACAGCCTGGACATAACGTTATATGAAGTGTTAAAGCCTTGACATTATGTTATAAGAAGTGTTACAGCCTGGACATCATGTTATAAGAAGTGTTACGTTACAGCCTGTATATTACGTGATAATTAAGGAGTGTTACAGCCTGGATATTATGTTATCAGGAGTGTTACAGCCTGGATATTACGTGATAAGGAGTGTAACAGCCTGTACATCTCGTTATAAGAAGTGTTACAGCCTGGACAACACGTTATAAGAAAGTGTTACAGCCTGGACATCACGTTATAAGAACTGTTACAGCCTGGACATCACGTTATAAGAAGGGTTACAGCCTGGACATAACGTTATAAGAACTGTTACAGCCTGGACATAACGTTATAAGAAGTGTTAAAGCCTTGACATTATGTTATAAGAAGTGTTACAGCCTGGACATAACGTTATAAGAAGTGTTACAGCCTGGACATCACGTTATAAGAAGTGTTACAGCAGGACATCACATTATAAGAAGTGTTACAGCAGGACATCACGTTATAAGAAGTGTTACAGCAGGACATCACGTTATAAGAAGTGTTACAGCAGGACATCACATTATAAGAAGTGTTGCAGCCTGGACATCACGTTATAAGAAGTGTTACAGCCTGGACATAATGTTGTAAGAAGTGTTACAGCCTGGACATCACGTTATAAGAAGTGTTACAGAAGGACATCACGTTATAAGAACTGTTACAGCCTGGACATAACGTTATAAGAAGTGTTACAGCCTGGATATCACATTATAAGAACTGTTACAGCCTGGACATCACGTTATAAGAAGTGTTACAGCCTGGACATCACGTTATAAGAAGTGTTACAGCCTGGACATCACGTTATAAGAAGTGTAACAGCCTGGACATCACGTTATAAGAAGTGTTACAGCCTGGACATCACGTTATAAGAAGTGTTACAGCCTGGACATCACGTTATAAGAAGTGTTACAGCCTGGACATCACGTTATAAGAAGTGTTACAGCCTGGACATCACGTTATAAGAAGTGTTACAGCCTGGACATCACGTTATAAGAAGTGTTACAGCCTGGACATCACGTTATAAGAAGTGTTACAGCCTGGACATAACGTTATAAGAACTGTTACAGCCTGGACATAACGTGATAAGGAGTGTTACAGCCTGGATATTACGTTATAAGAAGTGTTACAGCAGGACATAACGTTATAAGAACTGTTACACCCTGGACATAACGTTATAAGAACTGTTACAGCCTGGACATCACGTTATAAGAACTGTTACAGCCTGGACATCACGTTATAAGAACTGTTACAGCCTGGACATCACGTTATAAGAAGTGTTACAGCCTGGACATCACGTTATAAGAAGTGTTACAGCCTGGACATCACGTTATAAGAAGTGTTACAGCCTGGACATCACGTTATAAGAAGTGTTACAGCCTGGACATCACGTTATAAGAAGTGTTACAGCCTGGACATCACGTTATAAGAAGTGTTACAGCCTGGACATCACGTTATAAGAAGTGTTACAGCCTGGACATCACGTTATAAGAAGTGTTACAGCCTGGACATCACGTTATAAGAAGTGTTACAGCCTGGACATCACGTTATAAGAAGTGTTACAGCCTGGACATCACGTTATAAGAAGTGTTACAGCCTGGACATAACGTTATAAGAACTGTTACAGCCTGGACATAACGTGATAAGGAGTGTTACAGCCTGGATATTACGTTATAAGAAGTGTTACAGCAGGACATAACGTTATAAGAACTGTTACAGCCTGGACATAACGTTATAAGAACTGTTACAGCCTGGACATCACGCTATAAGAACTGTTACAGCCTGGACATCACGTTATACGAACTGTTACAGCCTGGACATCACGTTATAAGAAGTGTTACAGCCTGGACATCATGTTATAAGTAAGAAGTGTTACAGCCTGGACATAACTTTATAAGAAGAGTTACAGCCTTAACTAAGAACTGTTACAGCCTGGACATAACGTTATACAGCCTGGACATCACGTTATAAGAAGGGTTACAGCAGGACATAACGTTATAAGAAGGGTTACAGCAGGACATAACGTTATAAGAACTGTCACAGCCTGGACATCACGCTATAAGAGCTGTTACAGCCTGGACATCACGTCATAAGAAGTGTTACAGCCTGGATATTATGTTATAAGGAGTGTTACAGCCTGGACATAACTTTATAAGAAGTGTTACAGCCTGAACATCACGTTATAAGAACTGTTACAGCCTGGACATCACGTTATAAGAAGTGTTACAGCAGAAAATCACTTTATAAGAACTGTTACAGCCTGGACATCACTTTATAAGAAAGTGTTACAGCCTGAACATCACATTATAAGAATTGTTACAGCCTGGACATCACGTTATAAGAAGTGTTACAGCAGAACATCACGTTATAAGAACTGTTACAGCCTGGCATCACGTTATAAGAAGTGTTACAGCCTGGATATCACATTATAAGAAGTGTTACAGCCTGGACATCACATTATAAGAATTGTTACAGATTGGACATAACGTTATAAGAACTGTTACAGCCTGGACATAACGTTATAAGAACCGTTACAGCCTGGACATCACGTTATAAGAAGTGTTACAGCAGGACATCATTTTATAAGAACTGTTACAGCCTGGACATCACGTTAAAAGAACTGTTACAGCCTGGACATAACGTTATAAGAAGTGTTACAGCAGGACATCACGTTATAAGAAGTGTTACAGCAGGACATCACGTTATAAGAATTGTTACAGCCTGGACATCACGTTATAAGTGTTACAGCAGGACCTCACGTTATAAGAAGTGTTACAGCCTGGACATCACGTTATAAGAAGTGTTACAGCAGGACATCACATTATAAGAAGGGTTACAGCCTGGACATCACGTTATAAGGAGTGTTACAGCCTGGATATTACGTGATAAGGAGTGTTACAGCCTGGATATTATGTTATAAGGAGTGTTACAGCCTGGATATTACGTGATAAGGAGTGTAACAGCCTGGACATCACGTTAGAAGAAGTGTTACAGCCTGGACATCACGATATAAGAACTGTTACAGCCTGGATATTACGTGATAAGGAGTGTAACAGCCTGGCCATCACGTTATAAGGAGTGTAACATCCTGGACATCACGTTATAAGAAGTGTTACAGCCTGGACATCACGTTATAAGAATTGTTACAGCCTGGACATAACGTTATAAGGAGTGTAACAGCCTGGACATCACGTCATAAGAAGTGTTACAGCAGGACATCACGTTATAAGAATTGTTACAGCCTGGACATAACGTTATAAGAACTGTTACAGCCTGGACATCAAGTTATAAGAACTGTTACAGCCTGGACATCAAGTTATAAGAACTGTTACAGCCTGGACATCCCGTTATAAGAATTGTTACAGCAGGACATCACGTTATAAGAACTGTTACAGCCTGGACATCAAGTTATAAGAACTGTTACAGCCTGGACATCATGTTATAAGAATTGTTCCAGCCTGGACATAACGTTATAAGAACTGTTACAGCCTGGACAACACGTTATAAGAAGTGTTACGTTACAGCCTGGATATTACGTGATAAGGAGTGTAACAGCCTGGACATCACGTTATAAGAAGTGTTACAGCAGGTCATCACGTTATAAGAATTGTTACAGCCTGGACATAACGTTATAAGGAGTGTAACAGCCTGGACATCACGTTATAAGGAGTGTTACAGCCTGGACATCACGTTATAAGAAGAGTTACAGCAGGACATCACGTTATAAGAAGTGTTACAGCAGGTCATCACGTTATAAGAATTGTTACAGCCTGGACATCACGTTATAAGAACTGTTACAGCCTGGACATAACGTTAAAAGAAGTGTTACAGCCTGGATATTACGTGATAAGGAGTGTAACAGCCTGGACATCACGTTATAAGAATTGTTACAGCAGGACATCACGTTATAAAAAGTGTTACAGCCTGGACATAACATTATAAGCACTGTTACAGCAGGACATCACATTATAAGGAGTGTTACAGCCTGGACATCACGTTATAAGGAGTGTTACAGCCTGGACATAACGTTATAAGAAGTGTTACAGCAGGACATCACGTTATAAGGAGTGTTACAGCCTGGACATCACGTTATAAGAAGTGTTACAGCAGGACATCACATTATAAGAACTGTTACAGCAGGACATCACGTTATAAGGAGTGTAACAGCCTGGACATCACGTTATAAGAAGTGTTACAGCCTGGACATCATGTTATAAGAATTGTTACAGCCTGGACATAACGTTATAAGAACTGTTACAGCCTGGACATCACGTTATAAGAAGAAGAAATTGAGAAAGAAGAACCATAAGAAACACTGAAGAGAGGCTTTTCAGTAGTCTGATATATACCCAATAACTAAATGTCTCTTACCTTGGTTGAACGACGTAACCTGTCCTGTCGTTTTGTTCCTGTTCCAGGTTGTGTAACAGAAATGGTTTTCGTCCTGACACTGGACTGTGACATGGTTTTTGACGACAGGTATACCATCAGAGGTCAAGGTCACAGTGATGTCCGGGTACTGTATTTGTGTGGTTCTGTTGAAATGGGCACAGCGTAAAATGCTTCCTGTTACAGCTCCTGAATGTACAGAAATAAAAACTGGGTATCAAAGTTTGTTTAATACAAGGGTTTCTAGAGTCGTTGTTTAACGACCATGTGATGCATTGTCACATGATTCGCCGAACTCATTCATTCCTTTGGCTCACAAAGGTTCAAACTTGAGTTTTAAGACTGACGTAAGTAATTGTCCTCTAACTGAGCGCTTAATCCCCCTTTAAAACCAAAATTTACTGCTGGACAAAAGTTTACACCATTACAAGAATTTAGTGCAGCAATTTATTTTGGGGAATGCACAGCTGCAATGGTACAATTCCAGTCACTCTACAATGAAATTTTTGTCACAAATTTTGAAAAATGTCGCAATTTCAGATTGTTTTTTTCTGTGAACTCATGACTGTTCCAGGGTATGATGAGTATATTTAGTACAGGAAGGACCAGACTGGCTTGTGTACAGAGAGGTCGGTCATTGATGGTTCTGACTCAACTATTTATAGCAATGACCCCACTAATCAGTTATCGGCAGGGGCCTCATAAAGGTTTGATTAGTGCCATCATCACTCATAGAGGCTCCTCAAGGGTAATCCCAGGCACATGAAAGCTGATAATCGAATTATTCCATAAAGATAATTAATGTCTCCGTTTTTTTTATTCCATTATTCCTCTCTCTTGGTGTTCATCATCATGATCTTCGGCTCTAGAGGGGATAGTTAATTCACTCAATCAGCTACTATAATCGATTTTAAGATTGAGGAGGAGGGGGGTTCCAAGGGGGAACATTTTGTTAAGGTCCTGGTTTACACAAATTTTCTTTTTTTTCAGCATGATATTAGTGGAAAGGACTGGTTTTCATTGCGAAATAAAACCTTACCTCGTTAACAGAAGATTTAATTATTGAAGACACTCTCATTATAATAATTTCATTGTTATACAGCTTGCAGGGCTAGGCAATAAGGGTAGCCAGGGCTAGGCAATAAGGGTAGCCAGGGCTAGGCAATAAGGGTAGCCAGGGCTAGACAATAAGGGTAGCCAGGGCTAGACAATAAGGGTAGCCAGGGCTAGGCAATAAGGGTAGCCAGGGCTAGGCAATAAGGGTAGCCAGGGCTAGGCAATCAAAATTTCATATTACTTTTAATGTTGATCATGAACGAAATTGGGTTTGCGGAATTTGCACATGGACCAGTGAAAATGAAAACTACTGTACTTACTTGACTGAGTAGCGACTTTGAACGACTCCAGATTCTGTGTGTTAAACACTGACTTTACTAATATGAACTGTCCTATCGGCCCCAACTAACATCTTCCTTATATTTGTTTCTACATGTATTACAATTTACAACACTATCAACACATAGATATCCCTACTTCTTCCCAAAGCCAACAAATTTCATTTTCTAACGGTTCCGGGGGATAGAAGGAGGTATCCTAAGAAGATTTCCTAGGGCTAGGAAAACTTGCTGAATACAAGTGTCCCCGGGGTCGGTGAGTCGATCCCTGGGGTGGGGATGGAGAGTACATCTCTCAGATGAGTTATAGGTGAATACATGTACAGCTATTCATCATTTGATCGCTGGTTTTTATCAACTTTCCAACTTTTAGTGGTTAAATGTGAGAAATATTTTCTGTTCAGTAGCCATCATCACATCTTGTATTAATGCACATTACATATATATCATGTATATCATATATAACCTGTATATCATATATATCATGTATATCATATATATCATGTATATAATATATATCATGTATATCATATATATCATATATATCATGTATATCATATATATCATGTGTATCATGTGTATCATATATATCATGCACATTACATGTATATCATATATATCATATTATGTATATCATGTATATCATATATATCATATATATCATATATATGATATACATGTTATATATGATATATATGAGATACATGATATACATAATATGATATATATGATCTACATGTAATGTGCATGGTATACATGATATACATGTAATTTGCATGATATACATGATATATACGATATACATGATATATACGATATACATGATATATATCATATATATCAAGTATATCATGTATATCATATATATCACACATATATCATATATATCATATATATCATGTATATCATATATATCATGTATATCATGTATATCATGTATATCATGCACATTACATGTATATCATGTATATCATATATATCACATATATATCATATATATCATATATATCATATATATCATGTATATCATGTATATCATGTATCTGTATTAGGAATTTCCCCAGAGGACACAGCCTGATTACCAAGTACATGTGTATATATAGAATTTCTTCAGAGGACACAGCCTGATTACCAAGTACATGTATATATATAGAATTTCCTCAGAGGACACAGCCTGATTACCAAGTACATGTGCATATATAGAATTTCCTCAGGGGACACAGCCTGATTACCAAGTACATGTGTATATATAGAATTTCCCCAGAGGACACAGCCTGATTACCATGTGTATATATAGAATTTCCCCAGAGGACACAGTCTGATTACCAAGTAAATGTGTATATATAGAATTTCCTCAGAGGACACAGCCTGATTACCAAGTGCATGTGTATATATAGAATTTCCTCAGAGGACACAGCCTGATTACCATGTGTATATATAGAATTTCCTCAGAATTCACAAATTTCAGGTTCAGTCCCTCGACTATATTTCTCAAATGCATTTTTTCTTTATCATTTTCAACAGTGGGAAAATGGCACCATGTTTTTATTTTATAATGTATGCATTTCTATGAAATCTACTTTTTCTTGTTTTTTATGATATACAACACTCTCAATGAAGAAAAGAATTCCTAAAATTTAATTTTGAACTTGTATATTATCTTTAAGGTAGTGTAAAGAAATTAAAAATTTCCAATTTAACAGAGAGGCCCATGAGGGTTAATTTGAATCCAAGTGGGATACAATAATTTGTGATTAATTTCTAAACACCCATGCCCAGATCAGAAGTGTATTGACACTACAACTTCTTGTTTCTCACTGGTGTTTTGTGTGATCGGTGGCCATTGTTGAAAATAAATCAGTGTCATTGCGGAGGACTGACAGAATCTGGTGACTCACAGCAAAACATAACTGCCTCTTAATAGCAATTAACAGTGATTAAGAAATGTACTATAGCCGATTTTCTCTCAAGATGCTGGTAACGTTTTATGCTCCAATATCTGTCCTCATCCCTCAGTTATATAATCAAGTCTTGTTAACTTCACTGATGCCCCTACATGTGTGCAGTGAAACTTGTCTAAACTGGAACCTCACTGTAATGTCCCTATTGTGTGCAGTGAAACTTGTCTAAACAGGAACCTCACCGATGTCCCTTCATGTGTGCAGTGAAACTTGTCTAAACAGGAACCTCACCGATGTTCCTACATATGTGCAGTGGAACTTGTCTAAACAGGAACCTCACTGATGTCCCTACATGTGTGCAGTGAAACTTGTCTAAACAGGAACCTCACCGATGTCCCTACATATGTGCAGTGAAACTTGTCTAAACTGGAACCTCACTGTAATGTCCCTACATGTGTGTAGTGAAACTTGTCTAAAGAAGAACGTCACTGATGTCCCTACATGTGTGCAGTGGAACTTGTCTAACCTGGATCTACTGTAGGCATTAGATTGTTTGGTTCAGGACAGACAGATTTCGTGATTTCTATATTGAGCCCCCAGACACTTAAAATTGGATAAGTTTTGGGAAAAAATCTTTCACCCCTATGTAGCTTTAGTAGACTCTACCATGCATTGATATTGATGAGTCCATTATGGTCTACAGTGGTAAAAGGGCTAAGAGATTCTATTTCTTTTCAAATAAATATTAGACATTACTAGGAAATTCATTGAAGTATTATTTTTTACCCCAAATAAATAGAAATAATGAACACTTTCAGTCAATCTGTGCACGTCTTCATTAAAGGTGATAACAACCCAATTTCATTTTCACATATTTTGCATTTTTTGGGGCATTATTCATTAAATATTCCTTCCGTAAAATGAAAAATATTTTGAAAACACAAAAGTTGCGAAAATCAGCAAATTTTGTAACCGGTATTGAAAATCTCAAATACAAGTTAGCACGAGTTATCGTTCGTTAAACCGGAAGAGCTGCGACGTCATTTGCGACAACCGTCTGTCACAACAACTACTGAACTAGTTGGTACCGGGGCTATGGATTCCGTGGATTTTATTGACAACGAGGATATTCCAGAAGTTTCCTTTTCACACTGGACATTCAGCCATACCTGTATGAGCCAGTCTGCACCTATTTAGAGGTTATAAGTGAATCTGAATCGTCCGAGTTGGATGTTAGTGACGACGAACAGGGTCAGGAAACTGGCAGTATGGCTTGCATCAATGCAGATCTTACACCAGAATGGTTTGTTTAAACTCTTTGGTACCTATTTATCGTAAAATATAACTTCTTTAATTGTAATTAGGTTTTATATATACTTTTAAGCCGACTTTTAAATATAAAACATGTATCTTCAGCTCTGTTTGTCTGGAGCATGTTAAATATCTGATATCCCTGTGATGGAAGGCCTACTGTATATAACTATACGGACTCGTTAGAGATAATTTTATATTGAGTCAATTGTTTATATTAAAAGTGTAGGAAGTTGCATGCCATGAATGCTGCTAACGTTTTACTTCAAGTCTTTGTTTGTGGAGGCCAGCATTATGTACAGAAATAAATTTCCCCGATATATTTGGTTCTATTCTTTATAAAAAAAACCCAGACAAAACACAAGTTTTGGAATACTTTGGACTTTATTCAGGGCAAACTCAAATTGAGAAGCTCTTTGTAGTTACAATAATTAAATTATTCAAAATTTCAACAATTATACCAATTCATTGCATATTCTTTTTACTAAAACATTCAGATCACACAAACTTTCTGTAGACAAAAAAAATCCTCACATACTCAGATCACACACCTTGTAGACCACATTTACCCTCACATACTCAG